TAAACAAGTTTCGCCGAAACGCGATGACAGGCATAAGCCAGCGGCTGTCTTGGCCTGGCCAAAATTGAGACAAAAGTTATCTTATTAATTCCTCGCCACATCACACACTCGCACACCCAATGGGTTTTCCCCCTCTGAGATTTCCCCGACTTTTCCCCGTCATCACGCCCCACTAAACTCGCCGTTAATACGCACAATCAAATGTGATAAATATAACGGAATATTGTAGCATAATTTTGGGGGCAAACTAAGCCGACAGAAATAACACTTGAGCAAATATTAGATCAGCCATGGCTCACAATTTTAGCCATTTTCATCCTCCATTGCCACCCGCCTCCTTCATCTCTTTCTCTCACTCATCCACTATCCCCTTCCATTGGACATACGTACACATATTTCGCTTTTCCATTTGCCTGCAGTAAGGAAAAATAAAACAATATTAAAATTTATTCCAGCGTAAATGTAAAACAGAAAATGTTCTTTTATAATAATAAAATGTATTTATTTTGAAAGCCTTTTTTCGAAATGAAGTAAATATTTAATCCCGTCGATTTTACATCTGTCATTGGTACTTTTTCTCAGTGTACCTATTAGCCAGTGTTTGTTGTGGCAATTTCTGTTTTGGCCAGAAGAAAAAAGGAAAAGGGGGGAAGGAAAGTTGGTGGGGGAGTCATCTATGTATGAGTAATCGCTTTCATGCTTGATGACCGAAATGATTAATGGATTTTGGGAAATCGAGCCAAGTCCAAGATTAAACGCAACAGTTTCCAGCATTGATCATTTGTTATGTCCCAGCAGAAAAACATCCATACCATTCGAAGGGTTTTTCGAGATGGAATTAAGCTGCTAAGCCCTTAAATGGTGCCGGTAATAATTTCCAAAGGGAATTCACAAAATGCCAGGCAGTTTGCAATTGCTTTGCCATTTTGTGGTGTGCAAAATGCACAACAATCGACAATTTCTATCTTTGAAGTTTACCAATCTGATAGTTCGACAGGCCCAAATAAGGCTTAATAAGTTGGTAACATAATGCTTTCAGCCTTTAACCATAATTCAAGACGAAATTTGCAAATATATAATAGTACACAAAACACACAGAGATCACCGAGACGCTTTAAAATTCACCTGAAATTATTCATGCCGAAATTATTCAGGATAGGTTTGAAATCAATTTGCTGAATTCATAATTATCAACTAGAGAACCTGGTATTGTTGCATTTGAATAATTTGCACTTGCCGACAACCGGCTGGCAAATACAAATGCCTTATCCCAGTGGAAGGAGCAACAAGCCATAAACAAGCCAAACGTGGAATGCAAAAAGGACTCTGTCTTTGGCCTTCTGAATTCTGCCGCATTTGCTGCTGTTTTGGCCAGCATTTCTTTTTTTTCCCCCGTTTCAGTTCATAGCAGTGCCGTTCTGAATGTGATTTTTGTGCTCTTGCTTGGGCCACTGGTTTTGTCATTGTTTTTGGCCCGGCATTTGCTTCGTCGCTGCTATCTCTGGCCGCAAGGATTAATGGGGTCAATTTGGCTGTGACACGCACCACCCGCAACCTACCGCCCACTGCCCACTGCCCACTTCAGCGTGGCCATCACAGCTGCAAGTGCAACTGGCTCATAAAACATGCACAAGAAAAAATAGCAACAGCTAAATAATTATTAATATTTCATATTGTCGCTTTCATAGTATTTATTTATACAATATTTATTAAACATTCATAGGACTTAAACCCAATTAAAAAACATTATCTATATTATAGACATATTTATTGGTTTAATATCCAATGTATCACTAGAGCAATCCAGGAATCACAAGATCTTCTAAATCACTTTTAAATATATCGAATACTGTTCCGGTTTTTTTTGAAAAGAAATTAATTAACGCCGAAGAATCCAACGATAAATTATAAATGTTAGTTTTAGAGAACATATTTTCATTAATATTATAATAAACGCATTCTACATTTTTAACACATTTTTGTTTAGTGAATCAACAAGATGCGGCTCATTTCTCGCCAGTACCGAATGCACTTGGCATCGAGAGCAAAAGCCAGGCCAACAAGCCGGGGGACTAACCCGAAGACAAAGATTCCATTTCAATTTACTTCTTTAAATTGCAAACTTTTGCGACAAGTTAAAGCCGCCACACACACACACATACAGACATACTGACATTTTGGAAAAAGGGAAAAGCAAACATTTCCCCGATCCACACACACGCACATCGCCAATAACACGCAACAAGAGAAATGCGAAAAGAAAGTTGAAAAACGAACCCAACTGAGGACGACAAATTCAACATGTCAGGCATTAGAGAGGGATAGATATGGATGAAACGGGAAGAAAGAGACGGTGGGGCGGAAGAGAGATGGGGAGCTGTCACGAAGATGAAACTATTATCCACGGAAATTAGCGGGTTCCAATGACAAAAACACATGAAATGCAAAAACTTTCCGTCCTTCGCTTCAAGCTCAATTTCCAAATTGTTGTCGACATTGTTCTTGTTTTTGCCCTTGTTGTCTCAGCGGCCTTGTTGTTTCCCCATAAGAGGTTTTGTTTCCTCGTGGAAGTTACTAATGCGCATTTAAGTGCGAGTAGGTACATCCCAAATTCAGCTAATCGATCAGGAACTTTAAGTATCCAACCGTTTTCCAGGCATACGATTTCGTTGTATTGGTTTTGCTTTATCAATTTTGTTTGCTTTTAATAGCTTAAACCAAGTGCTTTTACGGGAAATATACTACAGATGTTTTAATAGGGTGTCTAAAAGTCTGGAACAATATGCTCGATATAATATCAAAGATTGGTTTTTTATTTTAACTGCATTGTTTTAGAAAATGATTTAAATGATTTTAGATCCGTCGTTGTTGCATGAGGAAACCATTTAATTTTTTACAAAGAATAATTTAAAAAATACTTAAGTTTTCAAGAATACCCAAATATTTAGTATTCAATGTTACCCAAATAATTTATACCCTCTCCAGGTCAAGTCACATATTTAACTACGAATAACTGCTGCCGCACTCAATCGTTTCCCATTTGCCAAGTCAACCTCTTTTTAAGCCTCGTTTTATATTTATAAGTATACGTATCTGCTCTGAGTTATTTTGTATCTTTATTTGTGAGTACATCTTCAACGACATGAGAATTGCCCCGAAGGCTGTTTCCGTTTGACTTTGCGGCCATAAAATGGCCAAAAGGGAGAAACAAAAAGCGGACGGACATAAAATATGCGTAAAATATATGCGCAAAAATAGTTGGGTCATCTAATGGCTGAACCAAGTCCAAGACCAAGATAATTGCGCTAGCCCGAATTTGTCCTCTGTGCTTTGCATTTTCTATTTGGAAATCCTCAGCTCCGGCAGATACACTCAAAATTTTTACGACCCCAAATGGCATTAAATATCCAAACGTACTTGACGCGACTTTCTTGGCTACGTGAAGTTCTCAGCTCAGCGCTATTTCCCCCTCTCTGCTTTTCTTTTCGTATTCCGTTGGATACATCTGGGTTAGTTTTCCTAGTTGCAAGCGAAAGGAAAGCAAAAGGATCGGGGAGGGACTCCTTTTATTGCGGGCCATCAAAAAATGTTAAAAGCCCCGATTTCCATGCCCATTGTCTGAGGCCGTAATTGCTTTGGCTTTGGTCCACTGAGTGTCGGCTTAGAGTGGGAGTGCCAGTGAGTTTGAGTGAGTGTGCTTCAAGTCACAGATCCTGTTGTCCTTTTATGCATACAAACAGTTTTATCCTATATAGGTGTTTTTTTTATAAAGCTTTACAGCATACTCGTTGCCCATTAAAGAGCCAGTAGAATAGAATGAAGACGAATACAGATTTAAAAATTTATTTAGTACCGGTTCTTGATTACCAATACTCTGTTATCAGAAGCAAAACACTCATATGGCCTGGGAATATTGTTCCTTTGTTTTAGGGTAAAGGTGAAGGGAGCGCCCTTCTTATTGTCCATATATTGAATTGTATTGAATTTTGAAATGCATGGAGATCAAATCGCCATAGCAAGTCTAAAATTGGCCAACCAACCTAATACGAAATCAGCAAGATTAGTAGGAGAAGCTTTTTTTGCAGGACATGAAATTTTACAACATTTTAATATTGAAAAAATCAAGAAACAGAAACGAGAGAAAATATTAATAAAAGATCGAGTCTTCTAACATTCAAGCGTTATCAACCACCGACAGCAATTTAATGATATTTTGGCTGAGATAAACCCATGGTATTTTGGCTTAACATTCTGTCCTTTCCGAACAGCTTATGTACCACTTAACAGAAATGTTAGGGCCATGTTACCTATGCTAACATTTTGGAGACTTTTTTTTACAGCCACTTAACAGACCTGAATCCTAACAGACTGGTAAGGAATGCCGCTAAATATGTTAAAAAGGTAAACAAATGAAGAAAAATTTAGGAAAAATATTTAAATTTGTTTCCGAAAACACTTGACTGGTTTGATAATTTCAAAATATATATTACCAATAAATATTTTTAAAAATATGGGCAATTCTAGCCCCTGGCTGCCTTGTAACCTGTCTCGCCTAATTGACCCAGAAATGAGAAAAGCATCGAAGAGAATGCCGGCTACAAAGCTACAAAAGAGCGGCAGGACTCTCTCGCTGCCACACGAAGTTGACAGAAACTCTTGATTCTGTCACGAAGTGCTTAACTTCGTCCTTGATTTCGTCAGCAGCATCAGCAGCATCAGAATGCTGCCCTGCGACAATATGTTGGGTTTACTATATGGCCGCATGACTGACTGGGCCCACAGATTCTTCTTCGGCGGCGGCGAAAGCCAAGGGAATATGGCAGAAAGGACCTGCTCATGACATCAGCGATGGTCTGCTCTCCCTCGTCCTTAGTCCTTCGTCCTTCTGCCGCAGTGCTGCTCCGGCTGCTCTGTCGCTGCTGCTGCTGCCGGAATGCGAATCGGAGTCGGAATCCTGAGCCGCAGGTTCGCAGCATCGGTGCTTCAGTCTCGAAAAGCCTGCTGTGCGTGCAGGGGTTTTCAACGCGCGAAAACACACGCGGCGTATACGCAACGCGGCCAAATCTGCTGTAGTCGAAAAAAAGACGAAAATTAACGCGAACTCAAAGAGGAAGCAAAAAGTAACGAAGGAATATCTAGAGAGATGTGAGTGTCCGGTCTGTGTGAGTGTCCCGGCCTTTTCCCATTTTATCGTTTGCCGGCTACCGGTTTACCGTCTGCAATGAACCATGCCAAAGCCATTGAACTGTGCCGGCCACTCTGTTGTTGTTGTTGTGTTCACTGAGAAAAAATCCCATTTTAATTGCATAATGTTTAAAAAATAAATAAAACAGCTCTATAAAAGCACATTACTATTTGTTGTTAAGTTTTACCTGTAAACATGTGGACATCTCTTTTAATTTACTTATAAATTAGATTTTTATGTTTTAAAATATTTAATTTAGGATTATATGTTTATTACGTTTTGTTAAAGGAAGTATACAAAAAGTTCACTTTTATTAGAGGTGTACTAGAAAATTCGTATTTTGTAAAAATTTATTTGTAAAAAAATTGTAAATTTATTTATTAAATCCCTTTTTTATTTTATTAATTAATTCTACAACACAAAAGTTTTCTCTTCAAACTGATTTAATTCTCAGTGTAATTGCAATATAAACGGGCTCGAAATCGATGCCCATAAGAAAGTCCTAACAAGTGTGAGGGGCGGGGAGACTTAACCCTTGCCACTCGAGTTTGGCTTTTCCGAATGCTTCTGACAGTTTTGGCCGACCCCTTATATTTAATTCTTTTTTTTTTTGGCACCGTGTTCACTTGTCTTCTTGAGTGTCGGCAAATTAATTAACATGACAATGACGAAGGTGAATTGCGTGTTTTCAAAATGCTCCAATCAGCTCTCAACAAAACATTACCACGTTTTAAATGCGACAGCCTCTTTTTTTTAAATTGTCGATGCCTGACAAGTCGCTCGGATTTTTCGAGGCGTTTACAAGTTTTTAATTAGACCCTTTGACAAATTACCGTTCGGAACACGGCACAATAGCCGGTAATTAAATGTTTATTGTCGGCGATTTTTTGGGACCGAAGGGCGGGATTGAAGTGACTCCATGGGCGGTGTGTAATTGTCGGTTTTTATACAAGAGGACAAGGAAACCACTCGAAGGTGACTTAATCAGCAGCTTAATGGGTGTTGAATTGCAGGGATCAAGAGGATTTCATGGAAAGATGGGATAAATAACCAAAATAATAATACCATTAATTTATAATGACATTACTTAAACTTGGCAAGATAGAAAATGTTGAACCAACTGTTAAATTGACAAATTTAAATAATTCTTTATAAATAGTTTAAATTTTATTTATAGTTATCGTTTCTAAAAATTCCAAACAATTAAATATTCCCAAGAATGGAGCTGTAACCACCATTGTTTCCACTTTTTACGCTTGAACTTAAACGCTATGGCTATTTCGCAACAAAGCACACTTTTCTATATTATTTATGGAATAACGAAATCAATATCGCATTAAATTTTCATTTTATGGTTCGTTCCGCTTTGCGCTGCCGCAGGACTTGCTTTAAACTTGCGTCCTGGCAACGTGTGGAAGCTCCTTGTCATGCTCTGCCCACTTCCCTCAAACCATTCGGAACTCAGAGTTCTCCCCGAACCTCACCCCTCCCGGCGCTTTCATATTTGTCTAGTATTAGGGGTGAGGACTTTCAACTGCTGCTTTTGCTGTTACTGCTGCTGATTCTCCTGGTTCAAGTATAGCCACTTAAACCCTTTTGACAATGTCAGCCATCAGGCTCAGATGATGATGATGATGATGGCGATGACGATGACAAAGTGGATGATGATGATGTGGCTCAATTCAAAACAGCCGTCGCACAAGTTCGCCAAATAAGGAGAGAAAAAAATACAAGCAGTTTCCATGCATGGCAGGAACATTAAAATAAAAAAAAGAAGAAAAAACGGCAGGTCCAAATATATCCTGGGAGCAAAAAGACACAAGCAAATGGATGAAATGTGGATGGTTTCCACTCACTTTAGCTTCACTTGAGCCCCGTTGCCTTGGCTTTGAACAGATTTTCAAGCATTCGGCTAATTTATTTTGCCATACCCAAAACTCATTAACTCATACATTTTTAAGGCAAACAATGTCCGCGTTTTCAAGTGAAATGCACACACACAATTCCTCAAAAATCAAGTGGATATGGGGAAATGCTTAGGATGTCGAGTTGGAGGCGGAGGCAGAGTGTTTTGCAATAATAATTTATAAATGAACGAATAAAGGGCGCACAGCAGCGGCAGCGGCAGCCAAAGGCAAATAAAAATAAATAAATAAAAATGGCAATGCGGCATAAAATGTGCCGAGAAGCCGAGTTGAGCCACCATTCCATTCCATCCCGTTTTATTTTTCTCCCTTGGTTTGAGTTTGAGCAGGCCGGAAATGTAACTGCGACGCGTTTATTTTATTGCGTATACGCGGCGCAGCAAAGTAGGCAACAATTTTTGCAGAGTGGGTTTTCGCATGCTTTGTATTTGCTCATGTGTGCGTTCGAGTATTACTGGTGTGCGAGTGCGAGTGTGTGTGTGTTATATGGCCGCCGCAGCAGCGGCTTAACTTATTTTCCACAAAATTAAACCATCAAAAATTTGCCAACAACAATGTTGGGGTAATTTATTTGACTCATGTGCTGCTGTTAGCTCGCCTGTTGTTTGGGCATAGAAAGCCACAGCAGCAGCAACAGCAGAATGTAAAAAAGCACACACACTTACGTGCACTGGTAAAAAAACGGGGTAATACAAGTTTTGGTTACTGATTGATTTACATAATTATCCTTCCAAATGTTGCCAACATCAAAAGGATAACAAAATATATACTACGATAGCACTATTATAACATAATAGCATTTATTGTATATCTATTTTTTCTAAACGATAGTTTGAAATTAAATTTGGAAAAGCATTTAAAATCAGAGGGTAGAACTATCTGAAAACTTTCCATTAAAACCCAAGGATCTTAAAATAATTCAGAAAGATTTCAAAGGAGCTAAGGAGTCATTAATAAAATACTACTTCTGTTTCCACTGGCATCCCCGTCAATTTTTGGCACTTAAGGTTTTTAAATGTGTTAAAATATTTGAGGAACAACATTTTTTTTATTTATTAATTTTTGAAAGTGTAATACTTACACTCGCACAGAGTCCCCACCAAGCCGTTGGCGTTAGTTGTGGCTATGGTTATGTTGGTGACGCTGCCGCAGCCGCAATGGCTAACACGTACACACACCAGCATATATGGCAGGAGCACTCACACATATGCATGGGACTCGGACCAACTCATTCACTTCGTCTTGTTCTTTGTTGGCGCACTTTTTTGTTGTCGAAATTAAATAAACAGAGCAGGCATCGCAGGCAGCTAAACTGCCACATTGCTCAGCCCCTTGCCACGCCCCCGTGCCGCCCCCTGTGATGATGAATTGATGATAATGCCGCCGGGGATTTAGGCAAAAATAATGCACAAAGCTCGTCGCTGTTTTTCGGGGCAACAACGTTTCCCGTTTACTTTCGTACATACATACATTTTTTGGCTCGACGAACTTGGCTTTGAAAAGAGTTAAGCGTTTATTTATTTACATACATTTTGTTGTTTTTTTTTCTTGTGCCCGTGCTGCCCGGCGGGCTCAGTTTATTAAGTCTCAAGTGGTGAGCCCCATTCTGCGACTGTTAGGCAAACTCTACTCACTCCAAGAAAAGTTTTAGTGCACTGAAGAAATTTATGTTTCTATCAGAAGAGGCTGGTAATAAAAACCAAGGAAATTTTGAATGTTGCATAAATCTATTAATGCATATTTTATTTTATTTCTAAAACAAAAAATTGAATACTTCATTCTGCATATTTTTTTTAATTTTATAGTTTGTTAAATGCTCGATATATCTTTCTGTGCATTACACTCTGTCCAAGTTCGCTTTGTTGCCATTGCCGTTGGCCTAAACACAGCCAATTTCATGCAAAGTTGGATGCGCCCTTCTCCCATCCTCCGGTGACCTGTTCCACGTCCTTGATGGATGACTTTTGACGCCAGGCAACGTTTGGCGGCCAATTTGATTTGGGCCGCATGGGGAACAGAAGAGCCCCTTTGGCAGGGCCTGCAGCTCACAACTGTCGATTTGTCAGACATTTGGCGTGGGACTCAAGGCGGCCAAAGTGGCGGGAGGCCAGAGCGAATGAGCCCAAGTAGCCGGCAGTGTATTACAGATTGAGTTTTGAATTGTTGGCATTCCTGTGTGCTGGAGCCAAAGCGATGGCACAAGATGGATATGCTGGAAAACTGGCGGAAGACCAAGCGATAATATAGCATCTGGGTCGATTTGAAGTCTCGAGAAAGAAATGGTATTAAAAAAAGTAATTCACAAAATTTAAATAAAGCGTTTTTTTCCATATTTCTGACTTTTTAGTTCCCACCTAATTCTAAGGATTTTCTTTGCTACTGCCATGCAAAATCATAGAGCAAAACAGAATGAAACAAGACTCAGATTCCTCCGTCCACATGCATTGGCTCACTTTTGCGGCCGTTTGCATGGCACAAAGACAATCCGCATGACGTATACGCCACATGGGTCACGGGTGTCACGGTAACTGGTAGCTGGTGTGTGGTAGGTGGGATCCGAGATCCGGGATCTGGGAACCTGCTCTGCATGTCTCGTCTCGCCTGTAAGCCAATGCTAAAACAGGCCAAAGCCAACGTCTGAGAGTCGTGCGACGAGACAGACGCCAAATTCCGAGAACGCAACAGTATACAGTGGAAAACAAATATTTATAGAGTAAATTGGGTAGCTTAAATATTAAATATTATTTTTTATGTTTGATATTATTATCCCCATAGCTTTTAATTCTCTGTACTTAAAGTAAATAAGTTTTTTTTATTAATTTTCATTTTTACTTTAGTTGCTAACATTTTAATAAAAAAAAGGAAATAAATATTTTTGAAAATTTAATTTCTGACAATTTAGAAATACATGGCATTTTATCAATTATCTAAAAAATATGAAGCCAATTTCTATCTGCATTCTTCCCTGAATTCTGAATTTAAATCTTTATTTTTATTCCAGTGCAGCCACAAAGCCATAAAAGCAACAACAACACTCACAGCAGCGACGTGGAGCCCAAGAACGATAAATCTTTAACGTGGATTTCATGCATGTAAGCCAGCAAAAGACTCTCAGTCACGATATGATGCATGAGCCAAAAGCGGGTTTAATATGTAAACTCCTTAAAAGCGCTGAGTTTTCAACAGCAGAAGTGCAGCGGCGTTAATTTGCCCAATAAAATGCAGCCAGCTACGAAGAGCAACTAGCGCAGCCATAAATATCATCAGCCACTCAGAGACGCTGAGCAATGAAACGAGTTTTCGCCGGGAAAGAGACAAAGGAAAAACCAAGGGGGAAAATCAACAGGGAAAGCTCAGCGGGTGGCGCGCCGCATTTAGAGGCAGTCAAACTGGCAGCCATCGGGCACAGTCCTTCCTGAGATCCTGGGATTCTAAGTCTCTGGCTCCTGCTACCCGACATCCTGCCACCTTCCCCTTGAGCCGTGCACTTCCGCTTCTTATCGCGGCGATGTAAACGCGTTTCCGTTTAGGACTCAATCCCAGGCTCATTTCTCCGCATCGGGAACGGCATTTAACTAGCAGCTCGGCGCTGGATTACAAGTAAATTGGAAAGGATTTGAAGATGAGCCTGCTGCGCCTGCTTGGTGCCCTGCTGCTGGCCACATTCAATGGTGAGTGCACTGAGAGAAAATATTTTATTTTTCAGGAATAAAAAATATATATTTTGAATGGATTAAAATATTTTTATTATTAGGTATTTTTTATAAAATAGTAATGACTCAATAGGTAATACTAATTACAGTAATAAAATATATATAAAATTTATTTATTTTAATAAACTATACAAAATATTAATGTTTTGGGTTTGGTTATATGTCATTATAAATCCCTATTTCCTACAAGATTTACCTAGTTTTGTTGCAAACCAATCCATTTCTTTGCGTGCAGAATAAAGACCTGTTTGGAATTTATGACCGTGATTAACGGAAAAACCCTCCCCCACCCCAAAAGTGTCATAAACGCTCGGCTTTCGCCCGCTCGCTTCGATTTATTTGCGCTCACAATTTATTTGCACAACTATTTACGAGCGCTGGCATTGGCAATCATAATAATAACAACACAGCACGAAAGCCATCGCAGCAACAATTCAATAAATGTTGCAATTTGCATCGGCAACTACAATAAATTTATCTTAAATGAACAAACATTTTTCTTGCAGCTTTGCCGTCTGACTGGCAAATAAAATGCGATATGCCAAAGGCTTATCGTTGCCACAAAAGGCTGTGCCTGCACAAAAAAAACAACAACAATAAGTAATAACCAAAGCTGCACACAAATTACACCATGGGAAAAGCCTCGGCAGCACTCACAATGCATTTCAATTTGTTAAAACACTCACTCGCATACCCACTCCACATGGTTGAGTGCATAAAGATCCCATGAAAACAGTTTGGACATAAAAAAGGACAAATTTTCAACATGTAAATTACGGAATTTCGTCAAGCATATTTGTCAAAATAATAAACACATGTGTGTGTGCATTGGGGATTTTCCATTTCGGCTGTGCAATTTTTAAAGCAGGAAATAGAAAAGGCTTAGATTTCTCCAATCGAAATATTTATTTGAAAAATTCTGATCAAATTGCAAGATAATCTGTGAGCTCGCCAATCTCGTATCAGATGTCACAATGAATTTTCCCATTGAAATAGGCAACTAATTGACAATTATTTTTGGGTTGCGTTGACAAAGCCTTTTGGACACGATGAATATTAATATATGCATCACTAGCTATTTACTACTTTCTATTTTCCCTCTAATTGCTACAATATTAAAATATAAAAAACCTTTAATTAACCTTAAAAAAACATATAACCTGCAAAATCTCAAAAAAAAACTATAAAATAAAATAAAGGGTAAATTAAGAAAATCAATGGTCGTTCTCAATTTATTTCCTGTTTTTCTTACTTGATTTTTATCATTTTTGCCATGGATGCTGCATAAACGAACTTTTAATGGCTTGAAATAAAGCACATGAGATGTGATTTTCTGGTGATTATAAAACCGAACGAGCGACAAGTCAACCAATATTAAAACATTTGCATGCTGAATAAAGAATTTTGATTTCTCTTGGCGACCGAACGGGCTGGGGCCCCATAAAAATATGTCAAATGCAAATTATGCATATAAATAAGAATAAATATATGAATCAACAAATAAATATGTCGCATAAAGAGATATGTGTGTCAGGCACCCGCATCTTTGTGTAAAAGTCAATTTGCTGTCGCCGCACGAAAGTCGCGAGTGCCATAAACATGGGGAAATGTGCGTGAGACCGCAGCGCCGCAGCAAACGCCATCTGCGAATAAATAAAAATAAAAAATAAAAATCGAGCGCGAGAGCGGAAAATGCAAAATAATTGCATATTTATGTGCGCCCGGCCACTGAGCCAAAGGATCTGGAATCGGGAATCTGGGAAGGACGGAAGAGCTGCGAGTTTCGAACTGCAGCCATAAATCCCGAGCGGCTTGCCTGCTTTTAATACAACGAATCGCAGCCCGAAATGCGCAAATGTCTGACTGCTCGTAATATTCGCCATACGCCGTCAAAATGTCCGGCCGGGGGCGTAAATTTATTTCAATTATATAAATGTGCATTTCCGGATTTTTTCGTGAAAGAAATTGCTCTTCAAGGGCGGATTAAGAAAGGTCAGCCGTTTCGATTTTTGAATAGTTACAATTTTTATTTTAGGGATTTTTTGTATATAGTTCTGCTAAATACTGTATTTTTCTATGATACAAAAATTATCTAATGAAATGTATTAATTTATTTAATTTGTTCCCAGAAATATTTAATTTATTACGTGCATAAATACCCCGAACAAAGAGTCTTAAATCAGTTGAAAGGATTGCCATAATTAGTAGAAAATGACCAAGGGTCGATTGCGCAATAATCCCCCCTTATCCTTATCCTTCCTTCGTTGAGAGCACAAAGCCAATGAAATTAACTAAAAATCAGTCAAGAGCATGAATGGCAGCGTTTTATCTGGTCGCTTGTCTTTCGGCCATTATCTTTGCGTTTTGTGCGGCGGAAGAGGAAGCGCGTTTGATGATAATAATAATAATAATAACAGCGCCAACACTTGGCCATTGTTTTAGTGGAAGCCAAGCGAAAAAGCAGCAGCAGCAGCAGCAACAACAAGATGACACTTTAATAGCACAAATGCGGAACTAAACAAAAACCAAAATCAACGAAAAATGGGTGTGGAAAGCGACTCCCGCCAGCTGTCATAATGAAACTGTCAAGGACAATAGGGGGCCAACGGAAATACAAAGTGTACGTGTGCCTTTGTGCCCCTCTGGAAAAGTTCCACCCAACCTCTCCTGGCCCCTTGAATTTTCCACCCCCCTTTGGCATCCGCCACTTTCCGGTTTCTGCGATAAAAGCGACAAACGAAAATTCTGTCTGACGGGCAGAGGCCATTTATAAGAGCATCAGTTACAATAACACTGCAGGGCGGCTGGGCGGTCGAAAAGGGGGCGTGGCCCTCACAATAGCCGGGCCATTGTCATAAATTAAAAATGAGGAAGTGTATGAAAATAAACAAAAAGCCAAACGGCCCAGCCAGCTAGCCGCAGCGGAAATACAAAAAGCGTTGATAAATAAATTTCTAACAAAACAAACAGCTTCCCGAGAAAAGGCAACCCGAAGCCCAAAGTCAACCCCAAGAGCCCAAGAAAGGATATGGTCGAAAACGTGTTGGCCAGGTCAAGATCTAATAAACTTGACTTATAAAAATTACGAATATAATTTACAGAGTCTGTCATTTAAATTTTATGGGATTTATTTAAGTCTTTGTTTTGTTTACTTTTTTAAACGAAAAAAATTATAAATTAGTAGGTATATAATTTCTTTTTTCCCCTCTTAATTTAATTAATTTATTTATTTAAAGTAAACTAAAGATCCTCATCTAATTATCGCGCTTAAAGTTATTTTTTGTCACAGCCCGAAAATTTCCAGTTTAGGGCGATACCAAAATTCAACGCGTGCCACAAATTTCACAGGACGCATTTTATGTGTCGCAGCCCTCTCTGCCCCCCTTCCCCCCATTTCCCGGCCAATTCCTTTCGTGCCACTGCAACAGCGCAGCAACATTGGCCAAAAGACTCTGGGCGCAGTGGCCAACAGCAATGTCCAAAGCCGCAGCAGCTTTGATGGAATTTGCGAAAATACTGCACGAGAAAGAGGGGCCACAACAAATAAGCAAGTAACTTTAAGTCAAGCTCGACTTTTAAGTGCTCTTAGTGCTATAATTAATTTAATTAAATTGTTAAAAGAACTGAAATCAAACTAATAATTTAATTTAGGCTTAAGTTTATTTGTTTAAATTGAATTCATAGAGATAGCTATATATTAAAGCAGTTTGTTATTTCTTCAACCAAATAAGGCAAAAAGTAATTTAAAGCACATACATTTTTAAACAGGAACTAATTATAAATTCTCACACATTTCAAATAATTCTTAGATTGGCCAGGATATTTTTGCTTTAATATATAAAAGGTCTGTTAAGCCGGTTTTGCTTTAATAAAAAACCGGTATAGGGTCTGCTCCTCCTGCACATCCCCAAACCATTTCGACGACAGTTTCCCTTTCGCTCCTAAAACCTGGACCGTTGACCATATCCCAAACGTTTTACGCTATATTATATACGATATTTTTGTTTCTATTTTATGCAGCTTATTTGGCTAGCACGACACGTCCAGTTTTTAGGTTTTTTGGCCCGGGTGCAGATCCTTGTGGGGCTTTATTTTGGCTTTCGGCATTTGTTTAAATTAAAGATTATGCACAAGTGAAAAAGTAGCCAGGCAAACGCGAGGAAGGGGAAGCTATTTGAAATTTAAATATGCGAACAAAGCTCGACCTTGGACCACGTGGCGTATGATGGATTTGGGACCGCATGACGTCAATGGGAGTCAAATCTGTTGTTGTTCGCCGTCGTGTAAACAACCAAATGGCTTTAAATTGCTGGCAAATGGCAAATAGCAAAAGTACAATGAGCACAATGGCTGTAATCGTAATAAGCCATTTAGCACTTCATCTTCCCGCCGAGCAGCAGCCTTTGCATATATTTATAATTCATATTCATATTGTTAATTCTCTGGGCCCCTTTTCCCTTCCTGGGAACCCTTTTTATCCGTCGCCGAGGGCAGCTGCCATAAAAGCATCATAAACATTTTACAGCAGTTGCAGTTGCTGCAGGAAACTGCCCCAGCAAGCGGAAACGGTGCCGCTCCTCTGTGCCACCCTCATAATTGCAGCCAGCCATTTCACATTTTGGCCTAGTAACGGAAGGGAGGAAGGGCGGGCGGGGAGCCGGGAATTAGGATGGCTTTATCAGAGGGAGGCGGACTTAAAACTCGCATGTGTGTGTAAGGGATTTTTTAAGCTCTTAAGCTGTCTGTTGATTTTTTCATCATAAGCCAGCTGAAATGTCAAATATTTGAGTCCTATATAGTCCACGAAATTCCAGTGAAGTATCCCTCGTCATTATTTATTACGCATTTATAGCACTTTTTATCATAGAAAGTTTAAGTCTTCTTAGGTGCCTACTTTGAAAGTGATTTAGATGCCAAATTCGATACTTCAATATTAATCTCGACTGATTTCCTGTGAT